CCCGCTATCTCCCACATCCCTCCCACCATCCTCCGCCTCCCTCCCGCCAATCCTCCGCCTCCTTCCCGCCACCTCCTACCTCCCCTCCCACCATCTCCCACCATCTCCCACCTCCCTCTCTCCTTCTCCCACCTCCCTCCCGCCATCTCCCAGTTAACTCCCGCCACCTCCTACCTCAATCCGGCCATCTCCCACCTCCCCACCTGCAACCTCTCACCTCTCTTTCACCACCTCCAGCCTCCCGCCCGCTATCTCCCACCCACCTCTCTCCATCTTCAACCTCCAAGTAGCAGTGCTGCGAACATGTGTGGAAAAGGAGGATTCGGGCACATCTCTGCATGCGCAACAGCCCCCCATCACCTTTTTTTTTTTTTTTAACAAAAAATAGCTCGCACAGGTGACCCGTGCAGCTGCCCGCCCATGCAGCCTGCACGGGTGCACGGCCGTGCCCGCCCGGCCGGGCGGCTCAGGAAGCCTAGAGTTTGACTTCATTTACGAATTTAAAAAAAATGAAAAACGAAAATCGGTTAAAAAGGGAAAAAGTAAAAATAAATAAAAGAAAAGCAGTATTTGTTTTTTCCCATTTTTTCATGAATGATATGGAGTTAAGAGTCCTCAAAATTTTGCACAGGGAGAACCTTCTTCTTTGCTCTTTTTTTTTTTTCCCCTTCTTCTTCTTCTTCCTTGCTGTTTTTTTTACCCCTTCTTCTTCTTCTTCTTCTTCTTCTTCTTCTTCTTCTTCTTCTTCTTCGGGCAATTCGGCGGTGGTGGTCAGACACAGATACACACACACACACACACACACACACACACACACACACACACACACACACAGAGAGAGAGAGAGAACAGGTTAGTCTGCAACCTTGCAGCTGGACTCATGGTACTTCCATCGATAGGATGACCAAAATCGAATGAATCTACCGGTAGAACATGGAAATATACACTGCATGACCTTTTGTGTCTGTGTGTGTGTGTGTGTGTGTGTGTGTGTGTGTGTGTG